CCCCCCCCCCCCCACCACCACACACACCGCTCACCCACGCGCATTGGGCCTTGCACTTGAAATGCCGTGGGGCTCCTGTCGTCTAGACGTGGAGACGCCAGGGTCGCCCCCCCTTGCCCAACACCTTGTGTGTGTGGAGAAGTTTACCTTACCTCACCTTACCTTAGGTGGACTCGGTGCTCGGCCAGCGGCGCGAGGGCGAGCACGACTCGACCATCCGAGTCAAGAATGAGATTCTGGTCCAGATGGACGGCGTCGCGGGCGCCGACGCCAACGAGAGCCTCCTCTTCGTCGGCGCAACCAACCGGCCGCAGCAGGTTAGCACGTGTGGCACTAGCAGAAGCTGCAGCTCCGCGGTACAGACCCGACCTGTGAGCTATGGTCGCCGTTCTGCGTTCACATCCACCACACCTTGGACTCACCCCTCACCCCTCGCCCTTCACCCCAGCCCTCACCCTCACCCTCGCCCCCTCCGCCCTAGCTCGATGACGCGGCCCGCCGCCGCCTCTCGAAGCGGCTGCTCATCCCGCTGCCAGACGCGGCCGGGCGACGCGAGATGCTCACGCGCGGCCTCGCGGACCTGGTGCACGCGATCGGCGAGGCCGACATCGGCTCGCTCCTCGAGGCGACCGACGGCTACTCGGGCTCCGACATGGCGGCGCTGTGCCGTGAAGCAGCGATGGGGCCATGCCGCGATCCGGGCTTCGAGGCGGCGCTGCTCAGCGGGGTGCACTCGAGCGAGATGCGCCCGATCCGCCTCTCGGACTTCGAGGACGCTCTCGGCGCGATCCGCGCGAGCGTCGGGCCGGGCGAGCTGGCCGCCTTCGAGGAGTGGAACCGGAACTTCGGCTCCTTCCAAAGCCAGGCGGCCAAGCGGCAGGCGATGGGGGGCGTCTCGGGCGGCGGCGGCAGCACTTGAGGCCACGAGCCACGAAGGGGAGCACGACCGTGGCGGGGAGCTCGTCGTGCGGGCTCGCGCGAGTTCACGCGCACGGTGGCCGCACTGGCCGAGCGGCCGAGGACCCGCGGGGGGTGTGGTGCGTGCGCGCGGGGTCTCGGGCCAGTGGAGACGCACTCCCACTCGCAGCCGAGACGGCACACCGGGCGCGCGTTGAGCAGTCACCTTTCATGAGAAAAAATGTGATTTGTGTGGCGAGAGGCCGCGAGAGCAGGGGGGCAGGGGGCACCGAGCAGGGGGGCCAGGGCGAGGATTCGAGCCACCAAGCAGCCACACATGTGCGCCTTGGCCGAGCGTTTTTGATCTCTCGGTCAGTGGGGGGCCGAGCCGCCTCGGGGTGGCGGGCGGGCGGTCGTTTTGGAAAACAGAAAACAGATACACCGTGTTGTCGTTTCATATCGTCGAATTTGCCCGAATGGTAAAATGCAACTTTGGCATTCGGTAAAAGTTGGCCGATGGTTTGGGGGGGGGAAACCAACGGGGAAGGTTGGCTTCCACGAGCTAAAGGTCAACATCCTCTCCGGCTACGACAATGTGAACGTGATCTGGTCCTCCACGGGGTTGACCCGTCTCCTCCAGATCGAGACGGACTTCATGAACGGCCGAGCAATATCTCTTCATTAATATTATTAATTGATGCTTTTTGCACGGCTGAGCCCCCCCCTCCCTCCCCCGCGCCCATTCCCTGCCCTCTTTCGCCACGCGCTCCGTCCGAGCCCTCTCCCCTCTTGCACAACAGGGAATTTTGACAATTAATCACGATGGGCTTGCCCATCCCGGAGTGGTTCGATCCCACATAAATCCGAGGCGGTGAGGGGAGGCGTCCCGGCGGTCTCAGGCCCAGTGAGGTAGTGCGCCAGACTATCCCGGATCCTGCTGAACAAAGCTCCTCTTGTAGCTCGATCGGTCACACCGCCATCGCCGCCGACGTCTCCCAGGGAGATGATGGAGAGGGGGGACGACACTGCTCGATCTACCCTCTGGGGTCCCTCAGCAGCGTGCACCTCGATCCTGTACCGTGTTTGTTATGAAGCCCCCCAATGAACACACCAGTGAGGGAGGGCGAGACGATCGAGGGGTCCCGCCCGTACCATGCGGAATCGACTCTATCAAGTGCTCAAGTGCTCGAGTTCTTGGTTGGAGTAAAAAGAGAATTCTTAAAATACAAGCCTCTCTCACAGCACACTGGCACGACAAGGGCGCTAGGTTATATTATAAAATGAACTCGGGGCGCTAGGTTAGGTTAGGTAGAAAGGTGAAGAAAAGCCGGCGGGGCTGGCGCGGTAAAAAGAGAAGAGAAGAGGAGAGGAGAGGAGAAGAGAGAGGAGGAGAGAGGAGAGAGGAGGGGGAGAGGAGAGAAGAGGGGAGGGGGTGAGAGGGAGGGAGGGAGGGAGGGAGAGAGGGCGGAGCGAGCAGAGAGAGAGGAGAGCCTTTGAGCCTTGGCACCAGCCAGGCAGTTGATTTGGCCCTGGCACCAGCCTTGGCAGTTGAGTTGGCCTTGGCACCAGCCTTGGCGGGCGGGCACGCGGGACATGCACAGGCGCCAAGGGGCGCAGCGCCGACAATCACGGCGGTGATTGCGGCGCAGGTGGGGGGACGGGAAGTCCGTCGGCGTTGCCGGGGGCCCAAGGAAGCGCGAGGGAAAAATTCCGCCGCTGAGGGCGCTCGTGCGGCAATAGCCGAGTGGAGGGGGGAGCGTGCCGGACGGGGCGTCGTCGCGCCGTCCGATGGTCTGCTGCCCCGCGCAGCAACCGTCGGGCGACGACCCGGGGGCCAAAAACCCGGCGACGACGGCGCTCTGGATGGGGCGTGACCTCCTGCCTCCAACCTCCTTCCTTTTTGAGCAGGTGTGACGCCGCGCGAGCGACGCTCCGAGATCGCCCGAGATAGCGCGGCGCGGCGGTGGGTGAGGTGGGGCGGGGTGGGGAGGCGTGGCGTGGAGCTCCGAGATCGCCCGAGATCGCGCGAGATCGCCCGAGATCGCGCGGCGCGGCCCGAGGCGAGGTGGATGGGTTGGGAGCGAGGGGGCGGAAGTGATCAGTGCGGTAGATCGGTCAGTCGGGGCGCATGAGCCGGACTTGTGGGCCGGACCACCCAAGTCCTTTATCTGCGTTGTTGAGCCAGGACTCAACATACTCGTTCTGTTGCCGTCCCAAACTGTCACTCCCCTTTCTCCCGGCCGGGGCGGGGCGCGCGCGGGGGCGGCGGGTGTGCGGCGAGTGTGCGGGATGTCTGTGGGCCCGAGAGCGATATGCCATGTCCGCCTTGCGTTGTTTCATAACATCGAAGGCTAACTAGTTTATCTCGGCTTCTCCACATGAACCAAGCATCAGCACCGTGAGGTGTGATACATTGGCGCGTAAAGGGTCAGTCTGGAGTCGCGTGCCTCCACAACGGAAGAGCTACGCAGTACCTGACATCCCCTGGGGTCTTGCCACTAAAGGCGGAGGGTTGGGACTCAAACAGCTTGGACGAACTGCAGGTCCGGAGGTAACCTCAACGTCCTGCAGCCGGCCGCGGCGCCGTAAGGGTTCGCACCTCAGACCAAGTAGAGAGAGAGAGAGGTGGAGCTCACCACACGTGGAGCACCTACCGCCGCGTAAACGACGCGGGAGCACAGCAGCGGAGGCTGAAGACCGCATGCGATGTGCGCGAGGGCACACGAGAGGGACTCAGGAGAGGTATCCGTGAGTACCCTACGATAAACTAGTGGCCTACCACGAGTTGGGGCCCCACCCCAATCGTTATCGGCGGAGCTCAGAGAGAGTTCGGCGATGTCCAACAGTGCCTGGGACAGCGTCGCCGAGGCCTACGCCGAGCGGGTCGAGCCCTTCACCTCCCAGTTCGCCGCTCCTCTGCTCGACGCGGCGTGCGAGGCGCTCGGCGGCGTGGCTCTGACGGGCGCGCACGTGCTCGACGTGGCGGCCGGCAGCGGTGCGGTTGCGCTCGAGGCGCTTCGGCGTGGAGCGAAAGTGACCGCGACCGACGGCTCGGGCGAGATGCTGCGTGTGGCTTCGGAACGGGCAAGTGCGGCGAGCCACGAGCTGGCGACGCGGGTGGCAGAGGGCACCGCTCTCCCGCTCGACCTTGCGGGCGGGTCGCTCCTCGCGACGTCTGGGTTTGGCGTCATCTTCTTTCCGGACGTGGCGGCCGGGCTCGCCGACTGCGCCGCGGTGGCTCCCGACCGTGAACAGCGTCTCCTCACTCGCACCACAGCGTGCACAGGATCGCCGAGCTGAGCCGCTGCGTGCGGCCCGGCGGCGCCATCGCCTTCTCCGCCTGGGGCTCGGCCGAAGAGACGGCCGCGTTCCAGCTCATCCCGACCGTGGCGAGGGAGACGCTCGGGGAGGAGGCGACGGCGCCTCCCGCCGGCGCGGCGCGGCGCATCGACGGGTCTCCCGCGGTGCTCTCCGCGCTGCTGCGCGCCGCCGGCCTCGAGCCGCACGTGCGCGGTCCCGTCACCCGCACGCTGACCTGCGGCAGCGCAGAGGCGTTTTGGGAGCGGTTCGCTCTGGGAGCGCCCGGCACGCGCGCGCTACTCGCACGCCTCGGCGAGGAGCGAGGCCGCGCTGCTGCGGGCCGGTAGCTCCCTCGTGCCGACGAGGCGGGTGATGCATGCATCAGGCGACGAGCGGGCCGCGCTGCTGCGGGCCGCTGTCCTCTCGGCCCTCGACCAGCGGTTCGGAGGCGGCGAGGTCCGGCTCGAGGCGAGCGCGTACCTCGCCGTCGGAGTCGCGCCGAGGGCCCTCCCGCCGCTCTTTGTCGGTCCGGCTGGCTTCGCAGCGGTCAGCGGCCACTGGGCGGGCCCCTTCTTCGCCCCTGGAGCGAGGCGAGCCAAGGGCGACGCGGCGCTCGACTTTCTTCAGGAGCGGTCGAGAGGAGGGGAGGCGAGAGGAGAGGAGGCGAGGGGAGAGGAGGCGAGAAGAGAGGCGGCGAGCAGAGAGGAGAGGAGGCGAGAAGAGGAGGCGAGAAGAGAAGAGTCGGGCGAGAAGAGACGGCACCCTCTCCCCTCCTCCTCCTGCTCCTCTCCCGCACCCTCTCCTGCCAGGAGCGCTTCTGCGCGGTCGAGATCAACTCCACGGCGTACGCGCTGCCCTCGCCCGCCACCGTTGCTGCGTGGCGCGCCCGCTCCGGCCGCGGCTTCCGCTGCTGCCTGAAGGCGCCCGCAGCTTTCACACACGCGGCGAACCCGCGCGACCCGTCTGCTCTCGGCGCGCTGACGGCCTTTCTCGCGCGTGCGCTCTCCCTCGGCGCCCCCCTCGGCCCGCTCCTGCTGCAGTTCCCGCGCTCCGTCGCCGCCGACGCCGCCCTCCTCGAAGACATCGCCGCTGCCGTCGAGGAGGCGGAGCAGGGCGCCGCAAGCGCGCTCGCCGCCGCGCCAGCCGCCGCCCCCGCAGCATCGCCGGCCACGTCGCCCGCCGCGTCGCCCGCCTTGCGAGTCGCGCTCGAGGTGCGCCACGCCTCGTGGCTCGACCCGCAGCGCGGCCTGGCCGACTGGCTCCGGCGGCGCGGCTGGGCGCTCGTGGCGCACCCGGACAGCATGGGGCGCGCGACTGTGGAGCAGGGCGCGAGGGGCGAGGCGCGCAGCGAGTACCCTCCCTCCGACCTTGACCGGCATTGGCCCCAGACGGCGCCGTTTGCGTACGTGCGGCTACACGGCGGGTGCGACGACCACGCCTACGACTACGGCGAGGACGAGCTGCGCCGGCTGGCGGCGGTGGTCCACGGCTGGCGCATGCGCGGGATCGAGGTCTGGGCGTTTGTGCTCAACGACTCGGAACAGGCCGCCATGCCGCGCAACGCCGAGGCGCTCAAGCGCTTGGCGCACGAGATAGCCGGCGAGCCCGTGCCTCGCCCGCCAAAGGCGGCCGCGGCCACTCTCGCAGGCTTCTTCCGCGCCAGCCCCTCCCCCTCGTCGAAGAGACAGAAGAGCTAGGGAGCGGGGGGGGCCGGCGCGGCCCGCCGGGGGGAAGGCGTCCGCAACAGACACTCAGACAGATCCCGACGCAGTGCTCAGTGGTCCCACTGTTTTTTTTCGTATTACGGCTCAATTTCGCTTTTCGGCTTTCCGTATCTCAATCTCGAATCTGCGAAAATGACGAGAAAGCTCTGGGCCGGCGCGGGGGCCCCAGAGGGTGTCCATGCGGGGGGGAGATGGGGTCCCATGGCCCGCCGCAGGCGCCGATTTTTTGGAGTTTTTTTTTATTTTTTCGCGATTTTTTACTTGTTTTCATGGGAATTCGGCGTACTTGCGGCCATGCTATCACGCCTTGCGACAGCCTGTCGGCGCAGCTGGCCGTGCCATGATGCACAATTGATCACCTGCATAGCTCGCGGCCTTTGTATCAAGCATTCAGTGATGACGTGATCGTACGGCCAGTAGGAAGGTGTCCTTCCAGCTGCGTGCACGCTTCTGGCGCAATGCGCGTCACCTCGGATTGGCTGCTGGCACTCTCGAGGCTATGCCTACACAGCCTCGCGCGCATGGGCAGTCAAGAGGGACCACGCACCTTCTCAGGACAGCGCCGGCGCCTCTCTCTTGGACCGGCAAACTTGGTGGTCTCGTGTCACCAATGTGGGACCAGTGCGGCATCGCGCCATCGACAGCTCTGAACTGCGCCTCACCACTGACCGGGAAGGCCGCCAAGTGGGCCAGCACAGGTCGCACATTGTGGCAGCAGTCAGCAGTGCATGGCTGATAGCTAGAGCAGCAGCGTCAGGGTCGCAGGGTCGGATCGTGTCAAGCCTCTCGCCCGGCCGGCCGCGTGCAGACGTCGGCCTGTCTGCTGTCTGGAGTGATCTGTCGGCGGTCAGTACGACCGATCAGGTCGGAGTTTTCTGATGGTTGGAGGGTCTATCTGTATGTACTCCTCGAGATCTCTCCAAATCTGCCCTCTGATCAACCGTGATCATTCGGGAAGTCGGTGCTCATAGAGACTCATAGAGCCGGAGCCCCGTTTCCGCACTGCGGCGCGGCGCACGGTGCCTCCGGGGGGCCCCGCGCCGGCCCAGAGCGAGAAAGTGAGAACACTCCGTGAAAAATAGAGCTCCCCGAAACTGCCGACACGCCTCACGACAGGTGCGCACCCCGCCCCGTGAGTGTGAGACTATGCGAGACTGCGGCGAGAGAGCACATTGCAGCGCTAGAGCACTTAGTTGAGCACACTCACTTTTGCGACTTGGTCTTGGAGCACTCTTGAGTGCAGTCATGATACCAGAAGAGATCTCAACCCGACGAGAGTGGGCGGGCAGTCCCCGTGGCTGCAGTCGCGCTTCCGAGCCGACTCCGCCCCTCTCTCCACCCGGCCATTCCAACGGCCAGGCCGCTCGCTTAAGGCTGATTGGCTAGACGAGCGGCCTCAACGGGCGGAACGGGGTAGTCTGGCAACGCGTGGATCCGGCCCGCCTCGGCGGGTTACGGTTTAGCGCGACGACCGGGGGAGCTCTGATCGCCGTACTCACCGGGACGCTGAGCAACACACAGCGCTCACACAAAATAAAATCACAGAGTCACAGTGGGCGGAAACTTTTCAATGTATGTGGCTCTTACGTACATTCCCGGAGGAGGACTGCTTTTCATGCTCCTTCTCTCTCTCTCGAGGTTTATACCAGATTGCGCTGGGGATTTTTTCCGCTATTGTGTCATCGGGCGAGAAAGTTTGATTTTGCCGGGCGCCAGGCTATCACCCATCGGGAGCGGTTTCAACACAATTCTCCTTGTGTTGAATCTCCTCTTTATTTCGCGTTTTTCGGGACCTCTCGGATGCGCGCTCGCTCGCGCGATGAAGATGCCAAAATATCATTCAGAGCAACGAGCTGCTGAGGGCCCAGGGAGCAGGCCTCGGAGTCGCCACGCCCGCGCATAGCATTTGTTTGGCTTAGCGCGAAGAGGTGTGCTGTGCTCCGCGTGTGCGTGGGCGATAGGGTGCCGCCCTCCACCGGCACCGAAGCTGAGTGCACCGGCACTCCTCGCTCCCTCCATATTCCACCTGACAGCTATGCATTCAGCACTGGAAGGCCTGGCGCCGGCGTGGTCGCCATGCCGCCCACCTTTTGGGTGAATGGTGCATTCTGCATATTGCCGAGCGCGTAGCGGCCGCTAGGCCGGCCACCTACAGGAAACGCACGGTCAGATACAACCCGCACGCTGAGGTGTGGATACAGGCTCGGCTCCCTCCCCACCCACATCTGAGACCGGCGGGAGCCCCGTGCAAAGTACTGAGCCGCCAGTGCAGCTGTTGGTGAGAGCTTGTGTCTGTGCAGCTATTGCCTCCAGCGGGCGGGTAGGCCGAGGAGGTGAGCCGGTTCTCGTCGAGCAGCTTCGCGTCCCGCT